GTTCCTGGGGAAGAGCAGCCTTGGTCCCCAAGCCCCTGAGGGAAGAACTGCTCTCCAGACCTGGTGTGAGCAGAGCCATCTTGGCTCCATCACCACATCCCGGCCTCTGGCTTTCCCTCTGTCATGGCCTCTCCCAGGCTGTCCTGCCTGCAGCTGCACCTGCCACCAGACCCTCACGGTTTATCTGCACCGCCTCCTGTTCCGTCTGAAATGGTCTGGTCGACCAGCTGCCTGGCCTGTGATGGCTTCTGTCATCCACAGCCACGCATGGGCATCCGTGACCAAGAGCCCTTTTAATGTCGTATCTACAGACATCCCAATACCCACGGTCATCGAGGTTTTATCCTATGCTATCTGCTTGGAGTTCGTAATTTTGCGTTTCACATTTAAGTCTGTGATCCATTTTGAGTTAATTTTCTGTGCCGGGTGTGAGGTCTGTGTCTAGCTTTATTTTTGTAAGAAGCTATCCAGTTATTCCAGCTCCCGTGGCTAAAGGGACTGTCCTTTCTCCGTTGTGCTGCCTCTGCGCCTCTGTCAAAGATTAAGTGACTGTATTTATGGGGTCTGTTCTGGCTTTCTGCTCTGCCCATTGCTCTACTTGCCCATTATTTCACCAACAACCGCGCCCCCCCACCCCCCATGGTCACGGCAGCTTTATGATAGATAAGTCAGGACCCCCGAGTGTCAGGCCCTCCACTCTGTTCTCCTCCTTCAATACTGTGCTGGCCCCTCTGGGCACGTGGCTTCTCTCCATAGAAACTTCAGAATCATTCTGTCCATAGCCACAAACCAACTTGCTTGAATCTGGTTGGATTGCATTGAATCTATAGGTCAAGTTGGGAAGAACGGACATCTGGTCAATATTGAGTCGCCTCCCCAGGAACATGGACCATCTTTGCATCCATTCAGGTCTTCTCTTGTAGGGAGCTGATATAGGGTTAAGCCTAGGACTGATCTGTGGGCAAAGTCACAATTTCCAGCTTAGAGGGCACAGTCCTCTTAGCATAACTGGCTTGACCTTAGGAGGCTCCCTAGATCTTATCTGGGAAGCTAATGGGCTGAGGAAGTGCAGGAAGTATAACCATGGTGTGAACAAGTGAAATTCACAAGAACAGTGTAACTTTGGTGACCACTACCTTGTTTACCGCTCA